AACATCTTAATAGTATTAATTTCATTACTTATGCTGGAAATGTAAAAATCCCCTTTATCATTTTTAACATTTTCATTATTGCCGTTATCCTCATCTATTTTATTAATTTGTTTTGACCTACACATTCTCGAGAAATGATTCAATTTTTCACATTTATTACATTGCTTATTTTTAGCTGGACATTTATTGAACTCATGATTGAAACCACATCCACTACATGTGTTTTTGAAACAACGTTCATTATTTCTATTATCGAAAGATTTTTTATGCGGATTTGTATTATTTAATTTATCATCTGTTTTATATTCTTTTTTATACCCACTTCCAGATGCTGACTTACCCCTAGTAGGTCCTTTGGCTTCACTTAGTCCTTTGTATATACCTGCTATTGTCTGCTCACCCAAGACACCTCGCATGTGTGTTTCTGTCGCTTCCGCCGCCTTACAAATGTTTATCGCTTCCTTCAAGGTCAATTTTTCTTCTCTCAGAAGTCCATTTCTTACTGTTGAATCGAAGGCTGCACAAACGGCCACTCGCGTCGGTTACATTACGAATGTGTATGCAGTTGCCTACACAGCAGACTCCGTTGTTATCTAATGTCTCAGTTTTTCCTTTGGTGTTTTTCAGTATATTTTTCATGTTATTGTGTGATTTGAAGGAAATCTTTACGTTGTTTTTATTGAAAATGTTACTAATTTTGTGTGCTATTTTTCCAACATACCGGATGATCAGAATTGAGTGTTCTGTTTATCTTTTTTATCATTGAAAGTTGTTGAGTTTTTCAGATATTGTTTTATTTTATATTTTTTAATTATCTTGTCTATGTGTTGTCGATGGGATGGGACGAGATGGGATGGTCGACGAGATGGGTCATTCGATTTTTTAACCACAAGATCTTAACAGAGACACGTTAGAGATGGAACGAAATCGGCGAGACCTATCAATCTCGAGTCACCCGTTTATTACGAGTGCGGGACAAATAAAACACTAACAACTGTACAACGTAAACTAAAAACGTCTAATAAATTGCGTGCGAAGGCTGGGGACGCCACAACATGGCCGCCAATAGAGCTGCCAATCGACGGTTTCTTCGAGCTGTTCCTGATATGGCTCGGTAGAATTCCAGCTCTTCTCCATCGGTGGAGGAAGTGTTTGGGATTGTTGAGGTTCGCCAACTTGATGTTGAGTGTCGAACGTGTTGGAAATTCTATGAAGCTTCTGATTCTTTGAATTTGGTTGATACAACTAAGGAACGGGAGGATGACTTCAATAGTCGGGGTTGCACTTCTGTAGTTGGGGTGACACCAATAGTCAGGGTTACTTCCGTAGTTGGGTTGACTCCAATAGTCAGGGTGAGATTACACGGCTGTCTTCTTGGTTCCGGGAACTGCTTTCAACACGTTTGGTGTAGGACGAATGTTGTATCTTACTTGTTGAATAAGTTTGAGAAGAATAAAAAGACGGAGAGTTTCGTTATCTACGTGTTTACTCTTTCCTAACACATTACAATCAAAAACATCACATCTACAATGAAACCGTTGTTCCTTATTTGCTAAGTCAGCTTTGTCGCCGGACTACGGTACATTGTTTTTTTTTTATTTATTTATTTATTTGTTTGGGATGCCAACAGGGAAACCCCCAATAGCGGCATCCACTAGCAATAACAAAAAAACATTATTAAATTTACTGACAATAATCCACAAAAAATATACATTTAATAACAATCCATTAAATTACTCGTAATATCAATATTAGGACCATGCCACAACCATGCCCCGCAAAAATCGTTTAAAGGACGCAATAGATA